CTCGCTCGCTCGCTCGCTGTGTGTGTGTGTGACTGTGGCTTGGAGTCTTGGACAGATGGAGAGACGAGCAGGACGGCAGGCGGGAAGGTGAGTGCTGTCTCTTTTCTGTGCGGCAGGCAGGTAGGCAGTAAACCGGTTTCTCTTCTCCGCGGGTCATCGGGGGCACGCTGTCGCTGTCAGAGATCGAATCTCCGGAGATCCATGGAGAAGAGCGGAACTGCCGTCACGGTTGTGGTTCACGAACGCGGACACGGCTTCGATGGCGGTGACGGAAAAGCCGACCACTCGACGATCATCGACAAGTATGTGATCCGCGGTGTGATTGGAAGAGGGGGGGGGGGCAGAACCTACCGCGCCGAGGCGGGCAATGGGGATGAGGTGATCCTAAAGGTCTTCTCTTTGAAGGGCTACTCGCCCCGCGAGGAGCGGCGGATGCTCAAGGCGGTGTCTCGGGTCATGCGATCGTTCAATCACGTCGGGATCCCGCGGCTCATCGACTGCCTCGTAGTATCGCCCGATACGGTTGGGGGCGAAGCGGCCACGACCGGTCCCAGAGAGTCGACAGACTCGCTGACTGAAGAGGGGAACGACCGGTCGTTGTGTGTGGTGCAGAAGGCTCCTTGCGGTCGTTCCTTGGAGGAGGTCGTCCTCAGCGGCTTCCCTCTCACGGAAGAGGAGGTGGTAGAGATAGCCGTGGAGGTCTTGCACATCCTTGTCTATCTGGAGGAGAGGCTGCCGGCTGTAGTCCACACACTTCGTGATCTGCAGAACTTAGAGAACCGCATCGGTGTTCATCGGGACATCAATCCGGGGGATATAATAGTGGACGTGGAGAGAGCGCGGTACAACCGATCATGGAAGGGCCACGTGAAGTTGGTCGGCTTTGGGGCTCCAGATGATCCCGCAGCTATGGCTTCGTGCCAGTATAAGGCGCCTGAGCAGCTGGGCGAGCGACCTTCTACCCAGTCAGATCTGTACTCTCTTGGGCTAACGATCTTGTACGTACTGTGCGGGCGGGAGCCGGGGGAGCTTCCGCGCAAGCTGATGTACGTCCAGTTCCGCCACCAGGTGCAGTGCAGCGAGTACCTGGTCGACGTTCTGGACCAGATGCTGGAACCGGGACTGGCGTTCAGGTTCCAGTTCGCGAGTGAAGTGGTTGCTCTGCTGTGCTCTCCACGGTCGCCCACCTCTGCGACCTCGCGATCTGGTACAGACCTACCGTTTCTCCGGACGGCGACCAGAGCCGACCGCCCGGACGACCGTCGACACCCCGCCGGCCCGCCAGACTTCCTCTCGGCGTCCGAACGACCCGCCTGCAGCATGTTCCACTGCGCACGCCGACCGGTCCTCCACCCCAAACCCGCTGGAACTATGGTGTCCGTCTGCTCCGACTCCTCTTCCCGTTCCTCGTCTTCTTCCACCGCCCCAGGTCTCGATCTGAAGGTGGAGATCCCGCCTCCGGGCTGGCATAGATCGCTCCTGGTCTGGACCTTCTTCTTGCCGTTCATAGCCGGACTCCTGTGCCCATGGCAGCTCATCATGTCCCCCTTTCCTCACGAAACGCTGGTCGTGTCTATCGTCTACTACCTGCCGGCTTGCGCTGTGTCCCTCTGGCTCCTCCGAGCAGCGCTCAAGTCCACAACAGAGAGGGTCAGCCTCAAGATCGACGGAGAGGGGGAGTACACAATCAAGTGGTCGAGGGGGGGGGTGCTGACCAAATGTTTGTCCCTGGGGAAGGAGAGAGTGAAGGGAAGGGTGGAGAATGTTCTGGAGGTCCGAGTACAGATGGTCCTCAGACACCCCGCTGGACCCTCCGTAGGGGACTGCCTACTGATCGAGCCCAGGCAGACCCATGGATTTGGAACATGGCTCGACAACGCTGAGAAGCTATGGCTCGCAGATGAGATAAACGCGTTCATATATAGGTACAAGCATCTCAAGCTAGAAGGGGATAGAGTGGGAGTTGAGGGAGGGGGAGTCGGAGGGGAAAGTGGGGAAGGGGGAGACCATATTGTTGGAGTCGGAGCTGTGGGAGGGGGAGG